GTGGGGGGTCTAGTGAGAGGCCTGGAAGACATTTGGTCTAAATTCCATAAATTATGCTGTGCTTAAAAAGGCATGACAAACATGGACTGGATAATGGAGGGTTATTTGTTCTTTTTTTCTGTTGCCGTTTTACAGTTCTTCCTTTTCGGCTCCAGTAGACTTTTTTCTTTATCCTCTTTTCTCCGCTCAGTTCTAAACTTAGAACCAAACTTTAACTCCTCTCTACAAATCTCTCTTATCCCTCAAACGGCCTGCAGTTGTTTCCATAATCAGTATCACTATACTTTACGGAATTTGTCATCCCAATAGAACTGATGCATAATTCAAACAACCATCCATCTCTTTAATAGAATTCTTCTGAGATTAATTGCTTGCTCGCCTAAATGCTGTGGGAATATAGAAAGACAAAAAAAAAGAAGAGGCAAAACTCAATAATTGAAGTGTGGAGGCACACTGGTGTAAAAACTATCCCACTATACAAACGAGGCCTCTGTCTGTGTGCCCTTGCTTTAGTGGTCAGTCCATCAGTGAGTGTCCGTTATAAGGATCACAGGCCAATCTCCTGTTGGTGATAATCCTCACACAGAGATGAGGGGACGACAATCGTTTACATGAAAATGTAATGTAACTCCAAAGAAATGGATGTGCTCAGACAGTTATGATAACTTGTGATGACATAAAGAGTATTTTTAATATCTGCAGGTACATAATCCCATAAAAACCAATGACAAATGGCACGCCAAGACATTTGCTTGAACATTAAAGTCCCTAAAGCTTATGCTTCAACCCCTCTTAGCACGCGATTTGAAAATCACACACGCAACACATTCCTTCAACTGTTCATATCACACCTTAAGATTAATGTTCTATTCTCTCTCACTCTCTCACACACACACACACACACACACACACACACGCACGCACGCACGCACGCACGCACACACACACACACACACACACACACACATCAAAACACATCAAAACACATATTACTCTGATGGATCTTGAAAAAATTCTGGCAATGATTCAAACTGTCGCTCCCAGTTGTCACGAGGAACTCTGCACCTGCTGTTGTTTCACTACGATGTACACGTAACAGGAATAATACATTTTTGACCAGAAAAAAGAGGAATGCTCCCACTGGGCTGAAGGTGAGTTTCTGCCTCAAGTGAAGAGGTTTAAGTATCCTGGTTTCTTGCTTATGTGTGATGGTTGCATGGAGCAAAGGATGAAACAATGGATAGAGGCTGTATCTGCTAGTTCCTTAGTATGCTCTAATCAGCCTTGGAATTAAGGTGAGGTGGGTTGACCGTCCAGGATCCCTCTTAAGCCTAATTTATACGTCTGCGTCAGCCGGGCTCTGAGTCGCTTACAACTGTTGATGGAGACGTTTTCCATTCGGACTTTGTTGCCTTGGGAGTGTTGCAAAGCAATTCCTGCCGGGACAACAGAGGGGGTAGCACTTTTCAGGGGGTATCCTGCCACCATCGCAGTTATGTTTTCTCTCCATGATTTTGATTTACTATTGTGTTTTTGTATGAGATGTTCGGTCTGCCGCTAGATACCTTAGACACTCTATGTTTTTCTGAGAGGGGAATAGCTGTGTTGTCGAGCATTTTAAAGGAAGCTGCGTCTGGACCAATCAGAAGCTTGCAGTCTTCGTCACTTTTGATGGAAAAAAAAAATTTTGGGCATGTCTCTGTCACCCTCTGCAGGCATGCTGCAGAGCCCCTGCATCAGTGCATCATGGAGTTGTGTTTCTCTGTACCCACGCAGACAGAAAAGTATAAATCAGGCTTAGGTCATATTCCTTTAGTGCAGGAATACTCAACTCGTGGCTTGCAGGCCAGATTTGGCTCATGAGCCGCATCTTTCTGGCCTGCGAGCCACATAAAATGTTCCCAGGCTGTGATTATTTTACTAAACACATGTTACCATCGTGAGGCAGTGTAGTATCATATGCAGCCTGAGCTGTGTGCTGTGAATGTTCACTCGTTTGAGCTTTCCTGGGCCAGAACGCTCCCATATTGTCAATTTTTTACATCTACATTTCACAAAGTCAGTCATGGCTAAGAAAGGTTTCCCGTTACCCTTAAACTAAACATATAAAACAGAAAACACCGAATGATGATAACTTCATATAGACATCTGACATTCATCATGAATGCCTAAATGTGGACTCTTTGAGTTTGTGTCAGTCACTCAGTTGGAGTCACAAAGAAATACACAGAGACATACAGTCTCATAATGCTTTTCATTTGATTTGGATGACTTTCCGTCTGTTAGAAGAAATAACAAATAGATTTAATATTTGGTAAACAAAGCAATAAAAAGTTATTAGCCACAGAACTTCTCTGAAATATGACTTTTTAATGAACCCCTTCCATTTATTTATAATGTTCTCATTTCCTTCTTATTTTATTATTTCATCTTCCATCGTTTGTCAGCTGTCTTTAAAAAGCACATCCATGGAAAAGCATGAACATTACAGAGGAAAGCTCCATATATGTATGAATACTGTTAGTCGTAAATAAGGTAATGAATTGATCAAATTAAATGGAAAACAAGAGAA